GCAGCAGGACTTCCTGAAATTTTCATCACCACCTACAGGCTTGCTGCCTTGTGAAGAGCATTGTTTCAGGGCACTCATACCTTGTGTTTGTATATCTTGTGACCGATGTGACGAGCCGATCTATTAGGAGTACAGATAAGGTGAACTAGGTTATGCCAAATTCAGAAAACAATCGCACCTCATAGTTTTTACAAGGTAGATAGTGATTCTTGTAATGTTTCGTGTGAACATGAATTATTTACAACAAATAAGGTCACCAGTTCCTATTTTTTTTAATCATTTATTGATCTTGGTACTTTTCCGACAATGCATGCGGTACGATACAACGAAAGGACACCGTAATCTCAAATCGTATACATGCACAAAAAAATTTGCTTCATGTTGTCGGTTGGTGTACAATGGCCATTGTCTTAGGCCACATCAGACAAATCGGCAATGATCTCTTTATTGCGAAATGAATACAGCTGTCCGTACTTGATTGTTCCGTAGACGTTAAATAGGCTCGCAATATCACGGATTCATCAAAGACCTCATTTCTTCTTTGGCTTACTTCATACACTGGAATGAATACGCTTATATCTGTATTTCTTACAATTACTCCTTTCCTAGGAGTAGACGCACAACTTCAAGTTTGCCTAAATGGCGGCAGTGGCCGTAAGCATACAGTTTTTTTCATCAAATACTTTTCACATTCTTGTTTAATACGACCTAATCTCGTCTATTTCAAGCTTGTCTCAACGGAGCGTGTCCAATTGCCACTCAAATATGCATTAACACAACGGCAGGTAGCGTATGTTGTGACCCAAGCCAGGTGTGTAATTTTCTTCGTAGTTTTTTATTTAAAGCCGTTGAAACAAATACAGTACTTGCAAGACCAGTTAACGAGTATGAGCTAGTACTTTTGCCACGTTCAGAGAATTCGTTAGTTTTTTTCCAAAAAATCTTGGACCCCATGAATGAAAATGGGAGTCGGGTTTGTCCACGTTTTTTTTTCTTTTTGAAGTTGTCTACATCAAAAAGCGAAAGGCGATTATTCCACTGTGAAGAAAACTCGAGTATCACATCATACTCTGGAACGATGCCTAGATTTGGTTTTCTTTTTTCTTCCTTAATGATTATGCATATGCATTAGTGTCCAAGCAGAGTTTTTTTAGATCTTCTACTTTAAGCGTAACTCCGAATGGATATGGCTCTGCCTGATAAGTAAATTTTCTATTTCAGATTTCCAACAGCACTAGTACTATTGCTCCTATAGTGACTACACGACGCAGTAGTACCATCGGTAGGTCTTTACCGAGCCATTTCCCTTCTGGGATTTTATTGATTCTTAAATTATCCTTCTCTTTAAAAGGTAATGTTTGGAGGATTTAGTGTACCAAAATGTCTCGTCTAGGACGTTTCTGCATTACTTAAAACTTCGAGGAGTCATATTAACAAGCAGCTTATTTGATCAGTTGCAGTATTTCCAAAAATTTATAGCAAAATGCTATTTGTAAATGTCTTTCAAATGATAGGAACCTTTGCACCCACTCTCATAATAAAAATGCGTAGTTCGTTGAGGTAAAGAGCACATTAGGAGGTACTCTACCGGAACTGGAGTGCTTTTTTGAAACATTCATTTTCCTTTGCTCCTCATTTGAGCAACCGCGGATTTCTTGCGCATAGGACATTTGTATCTGCTCGAACAAGTTATATTAATCCTTCTCTTTTTTCTAACAAGGAAAGAAACAAAAGTTGACAGATTTGTAAAGGATGACGAAATAAGCTGATGGACAAATATCTTTACTATGCACCATGCAGTAAGACCTCGCAATGTAGGCGGCTTTTTTTTCTGAAAAGATACACGTGAACGTTGGAAAATTTAGTAGAACCCTTTTTCTTCTCTTTCCTCGTGGTTAGTTTTATATTATCTGAATGCTCATTAGACAATTTAAGGCATTGATTCACCTGCACTTCTAGAACAGGTGACAAAACAGTGGTTGGTGTATTAACAGTGGTGGAGTTTGGTTCTAGACTAAAAAGTAGAGCCATTATTTTATAAATGAGAACTGTAGAAAGTCTTGATAGGAGTCGATGGCATTTCACAAAGCTTTTGATCAGAAAATGTTTTGTATGAGAACGTTGGTAAAAGAAGGGAAAGAGCAGTGATGACTCCGCACTCTTTAACTACGCGGCGTTTGGACATAAATTATTTAGAAATATTCCGTATTTGATCGACGAATGGTACAGGGTTAAGGAAATGGGTGAATATGAGGTTTAGCAATCATTATATCTTATCCGAGAAACCTCAGCCACTCAAGAGCGCAAATTTATACGAAGACGATGATAACATGGTGAACGTTTTAATTAATACGAACTTTTTATGCAGTGTTTACTTTTTGATTTACTGCCTATTACTGTTTTTCACGGCAGGGTATTGCATTTGATACAACCACAATGATTCTGAGATATTTGAAAATTCTGGACCGCAGCTGTCTGCGGTGGGGAGCGAACGCATTATTACCCTTTCCGGGGTATAACGCGTTCACCACCAGACCATGCGGGTCTTTCGTTTCGCCCGTCTCGCATCTAGTTTTCTTTTGATCAGTGCCATCAGCAAAAATTGTAGCAGGCTGTAAATAAAGGGTTAATATTGTGGTTTCAGCTATAGCCTCAGCTTTACTGGGTTCATCGCCGATTTGGGCTCCCCAGATCAAACCTATTAACGGGTGATTCCTGATGGCACTGCTCAATAGAAAACTAGCTAAGAGACAGGCGAAACAAAGGACCCGGATGGTGTAGTGGTGAAGAGTTATCTCCTGGAAACGGTAATACTGTGTTCGTTCCACATCGCAGACACATGCGGTCTGGAGTTTTTCATGTAATATTACCATGATTTTGAGAAATTCATCAATAGAAGAATGTTTATGCCAAATTCACCGTTACTTTCCTCTCAACAAGAAGCCGATAACGAAAGAGGAAGTGGTGGTTATGACATCGTTCGTTGTTTGATTCTTACTCGTCCTTCCAGTCGTGCCTAATGACGGAGTCGATCTTGATATTCATGCAACCCTGCAAGCTAAACGTCAGGTTCATTTTAGGATCTGGTTAGTGTAGGCAAGAGATGTTCTACTACGAAACATGCACTCTCTGGAATGACCTACTTGCTGAAATTGGAACTTGCAAGTTTTCTCACTGGGAATAAAATCATGAAAATCGAAATTTTTATGCTTCTCCAATTAAAATGGCCATATATAACTTACTTGTAGTGAAGGATCGAAGATGTAATGAAGAGAACAAAGAACACCCAACTTCGTGCCCACTTTTTCGACTCAACGGTACTTCCTGCCCTAACGTATGCGTCACGAACCTGGTCGCTGCGTAAGCAGGATGAAAGATCACTCAGCGTTATCGAACGCGCCGTCGAAAGGACGATACTAGGGGTACCTCCTGTCACGCTAGTAGCGGAAGGGACCCGATCTGCGTCAACGATCAAAATCAAAGATGCCGTTCTGTACGCCAAACAGTCGAAGATAAGGTGGGCCGGACACGTAATGCGTATGAATGACAACCGATGGACAAGAGCCGTTAGTGACTGGGTTCCTTGAGATGCCAAACGTACTGCAAGAAGACCACCGACCCGATGGTCAGAGTTCTTCACAAAGAGCTTTGAAGAAAGATATGATGCTCGACGAGTCTCTAGAGCGAGCAGAACCCACTGGGCTACTCTTGAACGCGACAGGGAGAAATGGAAGATTTACTGGCGCCCACGCGTGTCACTCGAGGATCAGCGGGACTACAGGTGATACAGGTGGTATAACTTACTTACAAAGGCACTTGGATGGTTCGTCTTCACGAGCATTGCGGGGCTCCGCAGACTTGCCATTCATTTCTCTCCCACGCAGTTGTCATCAGTGGTATCGGTTTTATTTAAGCATGGCGGCGCGTGCGAGTCTCACATCGTGATCTGCAAAATAACTGTAGCAGCGATTGCAGCTGTTCAATTTTGGTTATGCACCAATCCGCCCACTGCGTTGGTGGCCGTCTTAGTGGGCGCCTTCATTCTCGTGGAGTCCACTCCACAATTCTCTTTGTCCATCTGTGGTTTCTCACTATGTGACCATCTGTGTTTTGCTAGCGTTGCATGTTTTCCTGGATCCCGAAAATGCGATAGATTTCGGAGATCGGAATCTCATATTTCGTAGTAACTCCCAAATCCGACTTTCTATTAACCTCGGCATTGATTGAATATATCTTTCTACTTCTTTTCAGCAAGCACGAGGTGCTATTTTATTTCTTTATTTACGCACAAGCTGACGTTTCGGCGGATTTCGCCTTCCTCAGAGCCGCTTTCTATGAGTCTTCCACTGAGTATGTCGCCTGAAGAACGACCGCACAGAATTCACATGGAAGCGTAATGTCTCATATTTCGGCTAGATATTGAGAATACCGGTTATGTTTTAGAAGATAGCGAGTTTGATTTCGGCTTCTACATCGTCCTTGAGTGGTCGTCACTTTTTCATCCCTAGCGAGGTTATCCAAGAACTCCAGGGAGAATTGACTTGACCACCATTCAATGACATTCATAGGGAAGTCGACAGTCCTCAGTCGGCAGTTGAACCCACACGTGAAAAGTTGGAAGACGTTTGTAGGTGATGGATGCGAGAAAACGAATAGTGTTAGAAGTGCTACAATCAGCGCAGAATATGTGAAGGCAGTTCGTGTAATATAAAAATGATTCAAAAAGTATTGGCTTGTTTAATAAGCCTTTTCGACAGGCGACACTGCAATTACTGAGCAAAACAATTTCCCTTTCGCAAAAAATTCCCCAAGTGATCAAACCTTTCTTCTTGCTTATTGCTCAAAGAAATGCAACAGAGCGTGGTCGAATTTGGATGTTCAGCACTTGTCGGTTGTATTCTGTCGCACCACATAATCTTTGCAATTGCTTTCACATAATGAATTCTAGGAAGGAACCAGTCGAGAAGTTGGGTCGTTTTCGATAGGAGATAACATTTTACTTAATTTTCTTTCTTCTATTTCTTCTTTGCATACCGCTCTCATTTCCTAGGTAGTATCTAATAGGAGGGGTTCAGTGTTCGATTTACAGCCGAATGTTAAATTAAGTTGCTTAGAAGTGAGTTGAACTTCAGCCTGCGTCGATCGCGTAAACCCTCGCACAGGAGTGTCCGACTGCCCGAGGGTGTCCGCATTATGCAGTAATCCCGTATACGATGCTGTAATGACAAGGCAGTGTCCAAAAACTTGTGGACGATGTGGCATTACAAACTCCACGGCTACCACAACTGCAGGTGAACTAGCTTAAAGTCGTTTGATCCGTAGCAGTTTATATTCAACGTTTCCTCAAACGTTTTCTAAGGTGATTATAAATTTTCTTTCCTTCTCAAAGCAATTTTATTAAATAAGCTAAACACAGCCGTATATTTAAGCGATAAAATATTCCCCCCAATTCCAACAGCTGGATTGTTCAGCTCTCAGTTGATATTGGCATAACGCCGAAATTCTTAGTCCATGTTTGAAAAAAGGAATAAATTGATCAATTAGTCTAAAAACTAGTTGGACTCATTGGTTATGGCTTGATATCAGCTTATGGTAAGATTCCCCGCAGCCAAGAAATATGTCATGGGAAAACTTTTGTTCCAATCGTCATCAGTTTTTAGCAATTTTCATTAGCAATTTAGCGCAGTTTCTTGATAGAAATGGGTCTAATTTTGTTCGGACAGTATTTGTGAGCAATTTCCTCTTTTTTTCGTTCCAACAAAAAATAATTCTTGAAAACTTTTTTCCAGATTAGCTTTAATTATTAGGTAATCGTATAGATGTTAGCTGAAATTCTTTCTTAACTTTTAAGAGGTTTAAGAGGTCCAGAGGACTGTGCCGTAGATATTTTTTGAACATTTGTAGCTTGCTACTATTAAGTAGTACATAAAAGTTTTCGTTATTGAAAGAAATTAACTTGAAGGAGTCCATATTTAATATTCACTAGTTTCATTGGCTATCGCAAGATTTTTGCTTTTCGTTTCAGTTTGTCAAGATATGATTAACCCTGCAACCGGTACCTCAGACTGTCCGGCTCGTGCCAATCTTTGTCGGAATCCAAACTATGTCGATCTCATGAGAGTACAATGCGGAAAAACATGCCAATATTGCTAAAAGAAAACTCTTGCTCCATATAATTGCAACCAGATAGCACTACGGAGTAGTTGTAAAGTTACATTATACCACTTAACACTGTGAATTTATGAAAAGATAGATCTAAGTAGTTCTTTCATTTTTTTAAGCCATTCGTTTGGTGTTGATTGCTACAAGCCCGTTTAAATTGTAAACGAACACTTGTGTCAAAGAAAATAAACCTTGCTGTAGTCACCTTTTATTTATTACCTATCCTTTTTATAGCAGGCTATGATGTGAAGTATAGCCACAATGATGTCTAGATATTTCCGAAACTCCGGATCGCAAGTGTCTGCTGTGGGGATCGAAGCCGCTAATACCCTTTCGAGAGATAAAGTGTCCTCAGCCACACCATGCAGATCCATCGCTTGGCCTTGCTATGAGCCGCCTTTATCCCTTTGGCGGGTAATTGCTGATACGACCTATAAAACACGGCTGAGAGAATGGCGAAAAGATGGTGCACTGGTGAACACCTTAGTCCCCAGAAAGTGTAATAGCGGGTCCAATCATAAACGCAGACTCCTGGGGTTCGGAGTTCTGCAGTTATATCAGCATCATTGTGGTACATATGTGATACAAGTACTAGGAAAGGAGTGTTTTTGGATTTTATGCCGTAGCACCTACTACAACATTGACACCAGCTTCACTCTCAATCACATTGCAGTTCTAGTAGTTGAATACTTCAGTAGAGTCGTACTGACCTTGTTACATTGTGCTCGAGCAATTCGTCAACTACATTTAAGAATAGCTGCCGCCCTTGGAGAAACTGCTTGCAGAACAGAAGTCCGTTCCTTTTAGTCCGCAGAAAGTGGTGGTTACCTCTGGTGATCATCCAAGAACGTCCTAGCACGGCGACTTCCGGAATTCTAGAGAATACACCTGAGAAAATTTTAACATACTAAGACGCAAACAATAAGATAATACTGGATCGAAAAACAACGATACAGTACAACACTATGTGAGACTTCTTCCGATTACGTGTGTGTATATGCGGTCCCAAATACGATATGATC